TCACTGCTACCCATTCTACCAATTCGTCCCCTCGTATCACTGCTACCCTTACTATCTCTGCTCTCCCTTCTCTCACTGCTACTCAAACTATCTCTGCTCTTCCTTCTCTCGCTGCTCTCCCTTCTCTCATTGCTACCCTTAATATCACTGCTACCATTAATATCGCTGCTGTCCTTTCTCCCACTGCTACTCAAACTATCTCTGCTCTCCCTTCTCTCGCTGCTCTCCCTTCTCTCGCTGCTCTCCCTTCTCTCACTGCTACCCTTACTATCTCTGCTGTCCCTTCTCTCACTGCTACTCAAACTATCTCTGCTCTTCCTTCTCTCGCTGCTCTCCCTTCTCTCACTGCTACCCTTACTATCTCTGCTGTCCCTTCTCTCACTGCTACTCAAACTATCTCTGCTCTTCCTTCTCTCGCTGCTCTCCCTTCTCTCACTGCTACCCTTACTATCTCTGCTCTCCCTTCTCTCGCTGCTCTCCCTTCTCTCGCTGCTCTCCCTTCTCTCATTGCTACCCTTAATATCACTGCTACCATTAATATCACTGCTGTCCTTTCTCCCACTGCTACTCAAACTATCTCTGCTCTCCCTTCTATCGCTGCTACCTGTTCTATCGTCACTGCCCTTCACACGACTGCTGCTTCTTCTGTCTTGGCTTCCCTTTCTAGATTTTTGACCAGCACACTTTTTATTTCTTAGCGGTCCGGGATCGGTTGGGAGAATCGCCAGGGACATCAGTCGCTTCACCTCATCACTCTCTTTGTACTGAAAGCAAGATCAAACACAACTCGGTAAATTCTTCTGCTCGCACGCGAATTCGAATTCATGACGGGCCTCGCGACATGGACAAATCTGCTCCATTTGACGCTCAAAAGAGGAAGCGGTAGTGGCACTCAGAGCATCTTACACTTCCAGCTTTCATGACACCCCAAAAAGACTAGTAGAATTCAAAGAGTAGGGCATCACCTCAAACTTGAGCTCTTTGTCGCTAAGTTTCATCGTGCGGCTGAAGTGCTCAGCGACGATCATGCCCTGACGCTGCACGCCCGGTAGGGGACTCTCCAGATGGGTCTGCACACCCGTGAGCACTTGCACCATCCACTCTGGCAAGACAAAAAGTGGCGACAACGTGTGATCGGTGGCCCCAAGCCTGATGTGGAGCATGTATCAACTCGAATTGTTTCTCCGATTTGTGCGCCGACGTACCGTCGTCAAAACAAGATGCAAGGAAAGGTGCAGCGACACACATGAACCATTGAACGACACCACATGGGGTAATTAGAATTGATTACATTTTGGTGATATCTGGATCCAATTAATATATTACTAAAATTATTATTAATCCAAATTCCAGAGATGGTCAGAATGGGGGTAACTTAGAATTTTGATTACTTATTGGTGGTGATCGCGGATGCCAATTAATTATTTATTATTAATTTTTTTCACTTTATTATATTATTAATTAATAAAAATTTTCACGTTGAGAGAATTCAGCATTGGCCTTGGCGGAGGTTCTGTGCCTCGAGTGCTCTAGTTTAGTGTAAGTTAAACGGAGGTGTTCTGTAACTTCTTCGCAGTTAAATTAGTTTAACAGCGACATAGTCGACATTTTCACATTCTTGCTGTTGCAGCTTGTTCAGGGCAAGACTCTACAGAAAGAGGCCAGTGAGCAACAGATTTGCGAGTGTAGGCCGCCGCGTTTTCTACCACTGTGAAATACTAATGTAGGTAATTGAATGTTTCTGCACCGCAATATTGCCCCGTTTTTCAGCTCATACTGACATAGTCAGTGCGCTTGTAGAATCGCATGAGCGTGGCGCGTGCGTCAACGTGGCACAGAATCTTTAACGCCGTTGACGTACCGTCACGTATATTCGGAGAGCGGCGGGGGGGGGGTGCGTCAAAACGAGTTGAGGATGTCGAGCTGGGGGTCAAGAGGTCAAGAGGTGTAAAAGAGGGGGAACCAATTCCCTCCTTAACTTAAGTATAGGGATCGGAAATGCGAATTGCGGCCAAATGTTAACGGCTTGACCCAGGCTTGTGGATAGTTCGGTGTATAGGCAGCATGGTGGGGAAAAGCATCAACTGTGCGCGAAATATCGAGGTGCAAGGTCAATGGGGCACAGGGCAGCATTTTAGACATTTTCTGAGGACAGGTCTGACGGAGGCGATTGAAAAACTTTTTTGTTTCGCCCGGGTAGCTAGCATTTTTATGGCTTATTGAAGACCTGGAAATGTCTATTCTGCTGACGATGCCGAAGAGTAAGTGTACGGATAACCTTTTTTGATGGCTAAGAGGAGGGTTAATACATGGATTTGTTTAGGGCTATGTTTAGAAAGAATTTGACTGCCGGGTTTGGCATGTAGAATCTATACATGCCTGGGTATGTATGAGGCTACAATGTCACAGTGAATTCAAAAGCTAAATTTGGTTGAGAAGGGTTTATGCTCTTAAATCGTATGAAAAATTTTATGGATTCTGTATGTCAGTGCGTTAACATGTAACTTAATTATGCCATGCCAGTGGGCCACTGCCAGTGCATGTGGTATTGCATAGTATGGTGTAGTTTTTGCCTGGTTATTAGTTACAGATGGCAGCTCTCTACTTTCAGCCTGGATGAGTGCTTCCTATTTCAGTTTTGCAATAGTTGTTGCTATACTACGTCGATGGGAGCTTCCTTCTAATCTTAAGACATTTCAACGTTACGGCCCATTCTGTGGCAAGCTTTCATAACGATCGCAACGAAACATTTCTTCGAGAAGGTTCGCTGATAATCCCAGTGTTCGAAATAAGGGTATCCGATTTGTCGCGTACTTGTCCATTTCCACGAGGACAGTAGATCTTGTCGGAGTGGTCGCGCGGACAAGGCAGCTTGTTTAGAGGCAATTTTTCATAATTTTTCACCATCGCTGCGCGCTCGCGGGGAAACCTGAGTTATACAATAGTTATAAACATGGGTGGCGGGTGACCACCGAATTACAGTATAGTGATAAACATTTGTGTGATGTTATATAAAAACGGTTACGCCTTGCTAGCTCCCGAAAGTGCTTGGCTAGGTTAGAAGTACCATCAGACAATCAGTCCGATGACAGATCGCGACTCTGTTATAGCAATCAGTCGCACGGCTCGTCCGGCAGCGCGTACCGCCTCCGAGAAAGAGAGACTAATTGAGAGATGAGAGGAGGAGAGAGGAGGGGAAGAGAGTGAGAGAGGAGCGAGAGAGAAAGAAGGGAGGGAAGCACGACGAGTGAGAGAGAGAGAGAGAGTGATAGAGTGAGAGGGAGAGAGCGAGAGAGAGAGAGAGAGAAGAGAGAAGAGCGCAGCGAAAGAGTGTAGAGAGAAAGAGAGGGAGAGAGAGAGAGAGAGAGAGAAGAAGAGAAGAGAGACAAAGACAAGAGCAAGAAAGAGAGAGACAAGAAGGAGAGTGAGTGTGGAGCGAGCGAGAGGAGAGAGGGAGAGAGAAGAGCGTGACAGGGAAGAGAGAGCAGCGAGAGAGGAGCAAGGAGAGAGAGAGCAAGCGAGAGAGCGTGAGGATGAGAGAGAGCAAGCGGAGAGGAGTGAGAGAGAGGGAGAGAGAGAGAGAGAGAGTTGATCGAGCGAGAGAGAGAGGGAGAGAGCGAGAGAGAAGAGAGAGAGATCGAGCGAGAGATGGAGAGAGTGTGATCGAGCGGGAGAGAGCGCGAAGGGAAGAGAGAGAGCGCGAAGGGAAGAGAGAGCAAGAGCGGAGAGCGAAAGAGAAGAATGAGAGAGAGCAAGAGGGAGAGCGACGCGCGATGGGAGGGTGCTGCTTGATTGTTTGACGTGAGTTTAGCATCAGAAACTGCGTCAGGTGAGCGTGTTGCTCTGCGGCTATTGTATAGAAAGCAATATGTGCATGTCTGGTAATTTTAACATCGAAAAACCAGCCAGGCTACGCGAGTATAGCTGTTGTGTTCTTCTACCACTCGCTGAATATTATGACAGGTAATTAATGTTATCTCTGCACCTCATATTTCGAGACCGTTTTTAGAAGCAAATATGCATTTATATATATTTGAGTAGTGTGCGTTCTGTTGTTCTGCATAACTGTTAGGCGCGTGCACTGAATCCGGCTTCCTGAATCCTGAAATTTTTCGTGAGGCTTCATTGCGCTAGCGATGCAGGTTCGATTTAACACTTTGCTTTTTGTTATGTTATTGGGTTGAATGTTTGAAAGAAAACCGATGATTTGAAAATCGAGATGGAAATCTCGCTGACAACATGCAGCGATTCAGTTCACTTCCACTAGGTGCGCTGGCTTGTAGATTTACACAGCACAAGGCTAAGGATCAGTAGTCTGTCCGTAGCTTGCAGTGGATTCGGCGCAGGGCAACGGCGGTGGCTGTGGGATCAAGTGCTCCTCACCTGCAAGCTTGCTCTCAGCGCATATCTATCTATCAATCTATCTATTTTTCTTCTATTATTAAGATCTTACTATCTAGATTATTATCTAGCCATTCATCAAATGTGAACCTTGTGACGCTTGGTGGGTGAAGAGCAACTCAAGAATCATATAGGGGTTCCACGCCAGCTAAGGCTAAGGTCCCCTGCTGGACAAAGTGTTGACAGTTTCTCGTCTAACGGTTTGGCAAAATATCGAGGGGCAGACGGAGACACACACACACGTATAAGCACGCACCCAAGCACAAGGCACATCGCACACGGTCAACGCAAGGCACCGCCACAAGCAAGACGACCACATACACATCACGGGACCGACGACACTACACCACCACACAACAGACATCACACAACACCACACACACCACACAGACCACAAACGGCGCGAAAACAATACTGTTCCGCTACACTAAGTGCGGAGGTATTAAACATTCTGCGAAGCGTTTGCCTTTCATTTTTCAAGAATATTACTAGCAGTCAAACCCCGTTAGTCAGAAACTGACGGCCAAACGAAAAATAATTGGTATTAGCGGGTTTCGTATTAACATGCTTCAACATAGTATTGCCCCGATTAAGGAAAAGAAAAAATTATGGATTACAAGGTGTGTAAAGGTAATTTATATGGTTTATATGGTATATTAAGAAGCACTTTAGTAGGCGTTAAATTGTTCAGCAATAGGATACAATTAACTGCAAAGGCTAAACTCTCAATTCAATTAGCTAAGTATTCTTACTAGAGTCGGCACTCGTTACCCCGTACGAAAGTGACGGGCAAAGAAAAATAATCGTATTAGCGGGTTCGTTATTATATTGCCTTAATTTGAAGAGAAAACAATGGACTTAGAAGGTGGTGATACAAAGTGTTTTTATAATAGAATAATGAAAATCGCAGGACGAAATTTCATGTTAGTAAGAGGATGCTTGTATTATTGTCTTCGTATCAAGTATATTTTACTAAAAGATTTTTACTATGATGGGCGCGGGATTTAGCAGAAATCATGCGTAGTCTCATCAGGTACGAGCGAATATGGCCGAGGAGGCGGGATTTCGCCGAGTATTGTATTTTAATTACGAAAACAATTCGTTAAAACTATGCGCCATAGTTTATCATACAAGCGTGTATTTATATGTAGCGCATACATTTATCAATTTGAACAGTCTGTAGCTTTTATGCAAACATGTCTCATGCTGTTCTTTTTATCATTTGTTTGTACGCAGGAGGGAGAAAACTACTTTAGATCTTCTTGGAGAAGACTGTCTGATGCCTGGGAAGAGTTAATTGTATACCTGGGAACATATGGGTGGGAGGCAACATGCCCTTGTGAAGTGCTACAATGCAACGGAGATCACATTTCGTGTTTTAATGCATACGAGTAGATATATGGTAGGGCAACTTAAGGTTTCAAGTCAGATATAATTTTATTTCCATTTTTTGCAGGCTGCTGCCAGATGGCAAGCACATATGATGGAGTTTTGTTTTTGGACACATGAGATATCAACAGAGCCGTAGTGTCTGTGGTATCTGTTCTGGCTGCATAAAATGCACAAAACATGTTCACATGAACAAATTATATGATCAATATTTTAATTCTAACAAATGAAACGGTGGCTGCGACTAACTAAGAGGAGTCATCGAATACGTGAGAATTCATGCTACGTTCGTCTTCCCGATACGTCGTACGGTCATACTGTTATTGCACGGCCAAATGGTTTATAGTCAGATTCCTGGAGCCTTTTGATGACCCGACATGCACAGGAATGCTTGAATGTAGCTTTTGAGGCTGATTGGTGAGTTGCCTGGCTTATCACCTAGCAGGGCAGAACTGCTAGAAATGTAAAGCGATGCAGACTTTCCTTGCACTAACTAATAGCGATTATATTTATCTATAATAATATAATATAGATAGTAATCGAATAATAAAATAATAATAATTAATAGAGCAGCCCAAGCGCTATCATTTAATGTATTTATGCTTTTAAACTGGTAGATGTCGATGTTTATGTTTTAGGAGACTATGGATAGTAGAAAAAATAGGTAGTATCGCTGCATTATGGACTCCTGTAGTTCCAGTATATTCCAGAATCTTCTGTAATTTACGATGTGAAATTCGACGATAATGATTAATTCGGTGAATTATCTTTTTGGCTTGCTTTACATGATACCGAATGATGATGTCACTACGGTCATTTTTCATTTGTGAATGGATAGGAGGTCTCCAAAATTACGGGTGCATCATAGGTTCATAATTTGCTCACTGTGTCCAAGTTCCTACATAGCTAAGCATGGAGTATATTAAGATTATAGCGACGTTAATAATATTAATGATGAGCACGATAGCTCATGATATTATCTAACTCGATATAGTCATATTCACTTAATGTGTACTATTAGTAATAAATTTCGGGTAGAGAGTGAAGTTCAGAATGCAGAACAATACGAATGATACTGATCGTAGAGCAATCTGATTGCAGGAAAAATGCATTTACTTGCCACGCATGTGCTGTGTGTATTCCTCTCATAGTGGTAAAGCTAGCTACCTGCACTAGCAGCATCATTTCATGACTGCTGACTTAAACCCAATACTTGAGGTCGAGAAAAATGGGCTTGAAGTTTATATATAGAGATCCGAATAGACTGCTGGCTCATTAATTTACAAATTGCATTTGGATCGGATTTCGTGTATACGCGGAGATATAATCCGTAACTGATGGAAGAAATATAAGTTCTATTAGAGGACTAAAATATAGGTAATCCTCAAATAATCAACCAATACAGATTATCTCTGTGATCTATAATTAATTAAATGTCTAACGGGAATGAAAATTATATCTTGCGCGAGAAACAGCTACGAGCAACAAGATATTTATAATATTTAAAATTCATTATGTGCGATCTCTGGTATCGTATAAGTGACATTACTTGACAATAACTAATGACATTCTCATAATGTTGTTAGGAAAAGTTATTCACTAGGTCTATTCGACCATTTAAAGATTATGAATGGTAGGTTACCTCTGCACGTGTTGGGTATATATTTCTCATGATATATTGGTATTATCGCTGTTTCTGAAGATAGCTTGAATGATTTGAAATATGCAAAGGATCGGAGCTTAAGGATCTCGATTGAGACATAGCCAGCTCTGGCGACGCGTATCTGCTGTACAGCTAGAGAACGCAAAGGAATCTCATGGATGATTGTTCTCGGAGTCGCGGAATCCATCCGGCAGCGCTGAACAATAGAACAAGCATTTACATTAATGCTTTGGCTGTCGGAACATTAATTTGGGATAAGCAATGGCGCCAGAAAGTTTTAGGCGATAAATATGGTGCATGTAAAACAATGGAAAAATCCGCGTTTGGTACCCGTTTCTCTCGTACCATCGCTTCGTCCGCGCAGAAACACTCTTCTGGACACGTTCCCGTATAGTTCGAGGACATCACAGAGCATGGAGAAAATGTCAAGTCCATGCATCATATTTCGATGACTGGCTAGATTAAAGGAAAGCGCCATCCTCTGAGTGGTTTATTCTATACCACCTGCGTCGCTCTCCAGAAACATCGGGACAGCGCAGATAGCTTAAGTTATGTTACCCACCGTAGAAGCAATCGATATTCAAAGCACTACGGTAACTGCATGTGACAGATACATGCTTCTTGATAGCGCCGTATCGCGGACGTCGCGGAAAATCATTCAACCGCAGTAGAATAGAGGCAGGTTGATGACGGCCCGGCGCCATGCAAGTCGCTCGACGGTCTGGCGACGCGGCTGGTAGGCGTAACGTGTGCTAGCAGGCCGTATCAGCAGAGAGACGTTGCATGCGAAACGCTAGAAGCGGCGTCAAGGCACGCGCGGGCCGGAATCACACAAACCTAGAACACAATTCCAAATTAAGACCACGACGAAAGACACAGACAACGTGTATTATCAACATGAGCGGATGGCCCGACGCCGGCCAAATACGCACTCTAACATTAAATCTCACTGCTGCCAGACGCCTGGATCAAAGGACTCAGACACCGGGCGAACTGTCGTTCGCCTCGGTCAGACCGTAAGTAGCGAGCGGGGACTTCGACTCAGATCGTGGTTTATGAGATACTTGGTTGGCGGGCTCGAGTCTGGCGGACCGTCTGTTTCGAGCGGCGCTGGGAAAGATTAGTAAGGTAAGTATGAGACAGATAGAATAGAATTGGAAGGAGAACTGAGAGGACTGTTAGTAGAGGTACAATGTATCTTTGGAACAATTTAACCTACTTAAAATGCTATAATTACATTTAAACCTATTGCGCGAAGGAATTAACGTGAGGTACTTTGCGGAAGACAGAGACGATTGGATTAGAGAGAGAAGGAGAGGGTGGGAGTGATAGGCTGGTTACGTCTTAGCGGTAGGTGGGGAAAGGGGTCGTTGTGATTTGGGCAGTGTGAGTGTGTGTGCGTGTGCATGTGTGTGTGACTGTGTGTGCCGTCGCGCGGCGCTGAGCATACCCGCGAGATACGTGGTGACCGCGCGGACCCACGACGATGGAAAAAGCCTACCCGGCACACACCCCAGCCACACCGGAACTACGCACTGTTGAAGAACACGGCCACCGCGCGCACCGTACGGCACGTGGTGATAGAACACCCCACGGCCAACGAGCAGTACGCACAGTACGGACCGTTTGAAGAACACCCCACCCACGCACACGGTACGCACACGTACGACCTGTTGAAGAACGTTTCGAGCAGGCAGTCGTCGTCGTTGTGGAACAGCAGCATCGGCACGAAGCTGAACGACAGCGACCACGCCCAGCAGACGACGATGACGGCGACGGCGCGGAGTGTGTGTCATGATCATCGGGTAGCGCAGCGACATGATGACGGCGATGTAGCGGTCGACGGTGACGCCCAGCAGGTTGGTGATCGACGTGAGCAGACTCGTCGTCACCGTGCCCGTGCGCAGGCAGCAGAGCAGCGTCCTGCAGGGCAGACACACAACACCAGCTGCAGGTGTGGTGAGGTGCAGGTAGCATGTACAGGTAGCATGCAGTGAGGTGCAGGTAGCATGCAGTGAGTGAGGTTAGGCGGTCGGCATGTACAGGTACATCAGTGAGTGGTGCAGGTAGTATGTAGTGAGTGAGGTGCAGGTAGCATGCAGTGAGTGAGGTACAGGTAGCATGTACAGGTAGCATGCAGTGAGTGAGGTGAAGGTAGTATGTAGTGAGTGAGGTGCAGGTAGCATGTAGTGAGTAAGGTGCAGGTAGCATGCAGTGAGTGAGGTACAGGTGGTACGTAATGAGGTGCAGGTAGCATGCAGTGAGTGAGGTATGGGTAGTATGTAGTGAGTACAGGTAGTATATAGTGAGTGAGGTACCGGACAGGTAGTATGTAGTGAGGTGCAGGTAGTATGTAGTGAGTGAGGTACAGGTAGTATGTAGTGAGTGAGGTACGGGTAGTATGTAGTGAGTACAGGTAGTATGTAGTGAGTGAGGTACCGGACAGGTAGTATGTAGTGAGGTACAGGTAGTATGTAGTGAGTGAGGTACCGGACAGGGTAGTATGTAGTGGATGAGGTAGCGGACAGGTAGTATGTAGTGAGTGAGGTACCGGACAGGTAGTATATGTAGTGAGGTACAGGTAGTATGTAGTGAGTGAGGTACCGGACAGGGTAGTATG